CCTTTGGGTAACCAGCATGTAACTTAAAATATCCCTTCTTAATGTAATGTAAAGGTTATGAGGACAAAGGATGATATCCAAAGTAAAAAAGGTCTTGGTCTTTTAAAAAAGAGAGAGAAATTTTCGCAGAAAATTTATTGAACACGGTTTGGTGTAAGTGCATGCCGCGATAAGGGTTTATACGATTACGGGGGAATTAACATTAGTTTAATCTTTTGTATGTCTGTAGTTTATACGATACCCTTTTACCCACCGTACTGTTATTCCGCATTATATGATCAGATCATTTCATAGGATAGTAAATTTAATATATAAACACCAAAAAAGTAGACTGTTCTGCATAGAAGAAAATTTCTTGTAAGAAGACAATTGCGGTCATCATTGTTTAAGATTTGGTTAACAAATAATAAACATGTAAACGGCAGAATTGTAATTCTGGTGAGTGAATGATGGTTTTGGGTTTTTTATGTTTGTTTGTTTCTTCGTTTGGTCTGTTTGTTTGTTTTTTCATCAAATTGCTCGCTTTTGTTATAGACGCGCACTTCCTCGGAGAATACCGAAAATAGCCAAATAGGAATTAATTAGGCTTACCACAGGTAGCCCGAGCTCGAAATATGAGCATCGGCGAGCATTGGCATTGTTGCATAGCATTCTGTATAAGGAATTATATGGGGAAAAACCTATCGTTTCTGTAGCCTACGAAGATGAAAGGATTTCAACAAAAAACAGCTTACCTTACATAAAATGCGTGTTACATCTCTCCTGTGTAGTCCATGGGCCAATTTATGGCCGTTTTAGGGGTTCCACTGTAAGCGGATTTCTCTATATATTTGTAAACCGTTTACAGTACAACCCATAAAACGCCCATAAATTGGCCCATGGACCACACAGGAGAGATGTAACACACATTTTATGTAAGGTAAGCTGTTTTTTATTGAAATCCTTTCATTTTCGTAGGTTTCAGTAAATTGCAAGTGAGTGCACCCTATATAGTGTGACCCCTGTCACCCTCTTCAGTACTATGAAGAGAGTGACAGGGGTCACACAAAAACAGCCAAAAAAACCGACTAAGTAGATGAATTCACACCAAAAAAACACAGGAAGACATCAAAGTTAAGTCTCCTTTATTAGGCTGATTTAGCAACAAAACTGGAACGTCATTTGACGACGGGAAAGCGCGCGGAAAGGACTAAACTCGACTTCCGGTGTTCCTTTTGTTGCTCTGCCATTGGTCAAGCGAGATGTTTGATTTGTGCGCGCCGTCGTCTACTGACGTTCCCGCTCTGTTGCTAAATCAGGCTATTTATTTTATAGCAAAAAGCAGGAGCCCATCAAATGGAGCCTCCATTTCCATTGATTTCTTGAGTCAACCCTTTCCCGAGTAGATTTATAAATAGAACGGCTTGTTTCCCGCGAAAAGTGTCATATTTCCGTGAGTCTCGTATGTCACCGTGAAAAAAATGAAGTTGGATGAAGTCGAACTCAGAAGCCCGTCCTTCGACCGTTTTCCTTTTTTACTATACGTCCATTTTTACAGTTTTACAGCCGCTGGGATCTGGGATGAGATAAAAGTTAATGAATTACCCGACTGAGACTGAGCAAGAAGCGATGGGACAAAGGCAGCGAACTGAGGATCACGGAAAGGTTCTTTGCGAGTGTTTGTTTTTGTTTTTTTTTGCCGTCATACATCCCACATTTAAGCATGCACCTTGAAAAGAGTCGACGATTAAGCGTTCTGTGGACGATTTGAAACTTTTCGATGATCAGCGCCGAAAAAGTGCCAGGATTATTTGATTTTTGTCATCGCCGTGGAGTGGATTTCGTCAGTTAGCACCGCGTGCAAAAGCGATGACCTAAGTAGCAACTAAGGAGGAATGCTTCAGAAAAATTGCAGTCTTCCTTTACAACTGACTTGTATCACCATGAGAGTTGCCTGATAAAACTGGCACTTGAAAAGTTGAACAGAAGACAACAGTTGCTCGACCGTGAAGCTAACTCAAAAGTAATTTGCTAACGGTGGAATTTGTGACATCGCGCTTCAGTCCAAAGACCCTCTTATCTCAAGAAAAACAAAACGGATTGTATTTGCGCCAAAAGAATTATGACTGACTAACAGGAGGATTCTCAGCAATCAATGTAGAAGTGTAGGCCAATTCTTTCCTTCGAATTCACATCTGTAGATCACTTTTTTGCGAGAAAACAATGACTGGGCTCGGCGTTGCAAAACATAGCAGGGAATCATCACACTAACTGACGGACAAAACAACCACAGTATTTATTCAGACAAACGCATTTCGGGAAAAAAAAAACTTGAAAAACTAAAAATTTCATTAATATTGAGTCATTTAGCCGAAATAAGAACCTTAACGCTAAAAAAGATTGGCTAAAGAAAACGAATCCTGTCAGAACTACAGACTGCAGGTAGTAGTTAATCATTACGCATGTAACAGACCAGCTTCATGGCCTCTTAATTTGAGACAAGCAACCAAAATAAAGATTAACATAGTCAGAGTTTAAAACTCTCCGCTGTATAATCTATCCGCTAGAAAGAAGAGAAAGAAAATCTCTGAGAGATGAAAACGCTAAAGTCACGTTTCACTAGCTTATGATTTTGTTTGGCCTGTCAGCACCGGATTTCCTGCTGTTTCATGAAGTACAATAGCTGTGTCATTTAGTCGTTGTGATTGGCTCTTCCCACCGTCGGCGCGCGAAGTCTCCCCTGGGAACCGTTCTAATTATAAATCTACTCGGGAAAGGGTTGACTCCAAGGGCTTGTATGGGAGATGGAGGCTCCATTTGATGGGCTCCTGCAAAAAGCAAAAACAGTGATATTTAGCCTTCGCAGACCTCAGTATTTTATTTCTCGTACAAAGTCTCAACGGTCTCTTGTGACGCGACACCGACTCTCTTGTAAGAAAGTAAATTTATACAACACACTCATAACTTGAGCTTGGGATGCCTGTGATGAATCCTTGTCCAGGATGGATTCATCGGTTCATTTAGGGACGGACCATTAGAAAAGTTATTGGGGGTGGTGGGGGGGGATTTTTCGAGCCGCAGGAATTTTTTTTCGTTATCAAATTCCCTGTATGAATTTTTTTTAGGCCGTAGCATGAATATCTTTTAGCGTTAATTGGCGTGCATGAATTTTTTTCATTTAATTTTCCTTTGCGCGAATATTTTTTTGTACTTTGCCCGCCCCACCCCACCCCCCATAAGTTTTCTAATGGTCCGTCCCTTAATCTACCATTATCCGAGTGATCTCGGATCACTGATCCTGTTCCAGATCATCCCCCTGGGATCATCCCAAAGGAACGCACCCCAAGTAAGTCTAATTAATTACTACTTGCCTTCTTCCTGTCTTCCTTTTAGCATTTTTTTCCGTAACAATGTTATTGCAATTAGGTGTAAGTCCTGGTGCTCTTTCTTTCATTTGAAAATAAGAATTCATTCGCATGAGTATGAACTGGTTTTTATAAGTTGCGCTTTGCACAAGCCATCACTTTAAAAAGAAGGTTTAGCATGCTCTGAAACTGTTTCAGTTTCAGTTAAGTTTCAATGTATTTTTTTTGCCAGAAAAAAAATTACATATGCATACAGACATTCAATATATTACAAATATGCTATTTAAAGATTAAAGAGACGTAAATTGCAAGTAAAAAAATTTTAAAAAAATTTTGTGGCGTTGAAGCTCAAATGGAAACCTTGTTGGGGCTTATTATATGGGCTGGCTCCCTAAACTGAGACTAAACATAATGAATAAATAAACTGCAAAGTCATGCTGAAATATATAATTAGGATAAAAAGCAAGCAAAACAAAACGGACAAAACAGACAAAATGCAGCAAAAAACAAGTATTATTTACAAATGGTTAACAAGAGCGAATCCCTGTGCCCCATGATAATTTTTTTTAATCTATTTAAAGTTCGCGCGCGTGCTGCGTAGGTTATTTTTGTCTGTTGTTTCCGTGACCCGCGTGGTCTACTTTCTCGTGAACGTGACATGTTTCGCCGCCAAACATTTGAAGTTTGACAGCCATCATAGTAATTAGCGCCAGGAGCCGACAATAATCGGCTCCTGTTGTTGACGTGTTTTTGATCAGCGCGTTCCGCTCATAATTTAGGAGTGAATTTCATTTACAAAGGATTGCAGTATTGGAGTCAAAATCTCACTTTGAGATTAAAGATTGAGATTTTCTAACGGCTGGTAGCCATTTAAAGTAACGAATGTTGAATTCTGACACACCGTGAAAGCCAAAGGCAAAGGTTACCACGTGCGAAACACGAAACCTTTAATAGGTGGCTGGCTTTAATTGTTTATGTAAATGTGCAAGATATTTTTTCTCTCTTTCCAGGAATGTTTTTTTTTCAAAACCGTACATTTACTTTTAAGAATTATTCTTGAGAGTTTCAACTGCATTACTTCTTCGAAACGCCTAATACTTGCGATGAATAATTCGCCTGCGAACACAAATCAGGTCAGATGCTTCAAGCTGTTAGACAATCGCTAACATAGATGCCAGAGACTTTTTATGCGCGGTTTCCGGTTTCGGTCAGTTCTTTATAGTGAGCGGTGTGCCCACATTTGTCTAGCGCTGTCTCAGAATTCAAATGTTTGGCGGCCAACACGTTTATGTTTGAACCCACTTTGAACCTATTTTCTCGTTACGTGTCCACGGTTGGATCTAAACGACGGTATCACAGCTCGCGGGTGTGCGTGAATGTCACCGGAAGAGGCAGTTGTCGTTTTTGTGCAATGTTTTTATACTGATGTAGCGAAGACCTCAATTAGCAATTTCCAGCGAGTCGGAACCGCTCTTCTCCGGCGAACTTCCACAAGCCAGAACCGGCCAGAACCGGCCAGATTTTTCCACGTAGGAATCTTTTGAGTCGTCGACAAAAGTAATACCAAGTTCGAACGTCATATCGCTTGCCGTGCGTGATCGGCAGTGAAATGAATTACCCGCCAAGTTTAAAATTACATGACGCCACTTAAACCGACCAATAAGGCGGCGTCCTTAAAATAACCACGCAGTATGACACAGAACCAAGAATAGATTGAAAATAATTTACATGGAAAGAGGGTCATGTATGGGGGATTCGCTCTCTTAGATCATTCTCTCTTGTGGTTAATCAACTAAGAAGAAATGTTCTTAATCTGGATTTAAAAAGAGAGATAGTAGCAGCAAAAACGAACGTAAAGCATTTTTTCTCTTTAATTCTCATCTCGTAAGTATGGTAGAAACTGATCCAGACATAATTTAGCCCATTTTTTGAACATGTGTATAATTGTTAAGACTTCCTGGTTGCGATGAGACGATTAGTAGTACATTAATAACTTAATGAGCGCGTCAGTTAAACCTCTGGCAATTGATTAAACTTGGGCTTTTTTAATCAATTTGAATCTTTGTTCCACAGATGTATCGATCAAGAATCGGTTAATAAACTTTGTATCACTGATCATGACAGTTTAGCTCGTTTTCTAAAAACCAGACAATTGTGCTGTTTGTTTTGCCAATTGCACGGCAGCAACAAGATTGCCAATAACTCTGTCGTTTAATAAAATGAAAATACAGCCCACCGCATATCTAATTGGTTTGTGACATTATGAAGCTATCACATAAGGAAAACAGATATACTAAAAAAAGGTTCGCTTGAACGTAGTTGCTTCGGAGAAAAGTCATGGTAATGACAAACTACCAAACAATTAGAGAACTGTACGAATTGTTCTGCAAAATTCACTGGAGAGTCGAGGAGAGGTACATGGCGAGCTAATTTTTCTCTAAGACAAAAGAGAACAGCTAAATGTGATGGTGAATGATGGTGCAAGTTCCATGTTAATATTTTGGGTTCACTATACTCAATCGAAATGAACGTCACCATAGCGTTTTTGATTTTAAATATTTTACCTTTCATATAACAGATCCGAATTGGACGCGCCGGAAGATGATGTAAACGGGGGAAATAAATTTAAAAAACAATTTTGATGTGAAATAGCAATTTAAGCAATTGCAAATAAACCGCCCAAAATGTTAAAGTTATAGCCCAAACAGTTTGACATGTTTGGGGATATACTCGGTTAAGACTTCCTCTTCTAGCCAATTTAGTGCTGGTATCCATGTGAACGTCAGTCAAAGCTAAAGAAAAACGGCACAAGTAATTTGAAGATACAAAATACAGAAACACATAAAAGCCCCCAACTTTAATATAAGCGCCACTAGTAAAAGGGTCGCCAATATAAGCTCCACTCTAACTTGCATTGAAATGAATTTGATTTATTATGATACTTTGAAACTTTTACCAGTAACTGCAAAACATATTTAAATCAGCACCGCTTTAGCTTGTTTCCAACAGCTTTTCCCATTCACGTTACAATCTCCCTCGGATATAACGAGGCCCCTTTGTTTAATTTATAAGCCCTCCTAAAACCGATTACGAAGATGTGTAATCCCAGAGTATATCATATGCTCGGCTAACAAACTTAACACCACCTTTGAAGAAATTTTCTCGCTCTTGCTCTCACTGTGTTTACTGAAACTGCATTGCTCTCAGCTATTTTTTTTTTCGTGATTATTAATATGATAAAAACAGGTTACATTCTAATTTCCTAAGCTCGAACAAACGTATATTATTTTCTTTAATTCACATCTCGTAACTGACCCAGACTTTAAAGCCCATTATTTGAACTTTTGTACATTGTTACTAAGACTTTAGTGTCTGCGATGACCCTATGAGCGCGTCAGTTTAACCTCTGGCAATTGACGAAAACCGTTTTTTACCCAGTTTGAATATATGCGTAATAGAACTATCGATCATGACTTGGTTAATCGACTTTTTATTACTGAATGTTCAGCTCGTTTTCTAAAAGCCAGCCAATTGTGCTAATTTGCTCCCTAATGGCACGGCAGCACAAAGGCAACACCAAGATTGTCGATTGTCGATTGTCATATAAGGAGGACAGATGTATTAAAAAAGAGTTCAGCTGACTGTAGCCGCACCGCAGAAAAGTCTTGGAAATGCAAAATTTTACTAGAGGTGACAACCTGCAAACAGTTGCAGAATTCTTGTGCTCTGCAGAATTTACTGGAGAGGTACATGGCGAGCTCATTTTTCTCTCTGTCATTAACGCTTTTTTGTCCATTACAGCATTTTTAGGGAACGCTCTGATCCTAGTTGCCCTTCACAAATTTAAAAAGCAATTTAAATGAAGATATAATCTTGACGTAGTGAAATAGCAATTTAAGCAATTGCAAATAAACCGCCCAAAATGTTAAAGTTATAGCCACAAAGTTTAACATGTTTAGGGATATACTCGGTTAAGACTTCTTCTTCTAAAGAAAATGTGGCCAATTTAGTGCTGGTATCCATGTGAACGTCAGTCAAACCTGAAGAAAAACGGCACAAGCAATTTGAAGCTACAAAATACAGAAACACTTTAATATAAGCCCCAACAGTAACAGGCTCGCAAATATAAGCTCCTCTCTAACTTGCATTGAAATGAATTTGATTTATTATGATATTTTGAAGCTTTTACCAGTAACTGCAAAACCTATTGAAATCAGCACTGCGCTAGCTTGTTTCGAAGAGCTTTTTCCAATTCCCTTACAATCCCCCTCGAAAGATGTATAATTCCAGGGCTTTTCAGCGGCAGTTTACGGCACCGCATATCATATGTTTGGCTCACAAACTTAACACCTCCGTAGAGCAACATTTTTTCTCGTTCTTGTTCTCACTATGTTTACTAAAACTGCTGATTATTCTCAGCTAATCGTCGAATTCAACTCTTTTTTTCATGATTTTTATATGATAAAAACAGGTTATATTCTAATTTCCTAAGCTCGAACGAACGTTTTATTTTCTTTAATTCCCACCTCGTAAATGGCCCAGACTTTCGAACCCATTATTTGAACATTTTTACATTGTTACTGAGACCTCACTGCCTGCGATGACATTATGAGCGCGTCAGTTTAACTTCTAGCAATTGACGAAAACCGTTTTTTACTCAATTTGAATATACGCTTAACAGAAATATCCATCAAGACTTGGTTAATAGACTTTTTATTACTAACAGTTTAACTCGTTCTCTAAAAGCCAGGCAATTGTGCTATTTGCTGGCTAATCGCACGGCAACACAAAGGCAACACTAAGATTGTCTAATTCCATCGTTTAATAAACTGAAAATACAGAACAAATATTTAATTGTTTGCTGGCAAGGTGCATGTAGCAGTCATATAAGGAGGACAGATGTATTAAAAAAGAGTTCAGTTGACTGTAGCCGCATCGCAGAAAAGTCATGGAAATGAAAAATTCTACTGGAGGTAAAAACCCGCAAACATTTGCAGAACTTTACTGCTCTGTAGAACTTACTGGAGAGGTACATGGTGAGCTCGTTTTTCTCTCTGTCATTAACACTTTTTTGTCAATTACAGCATTTTTGGGGAATACTCTGATCCTAGTTGCCCTTCGCAAGGACACATCAATTCATCCGTCATCCAAACTCTTGTATCGTAACCTAGCGATAACCGATCTTTGCGTTGGTATCATTGTCGAGCCTCTACTGGTTGGATATTGGATATCTGTGGTCAACAGAAGATGGGATATTTGCTATTACGCATATTTGACAGTATATTTCGCAGCTGTTACTTTGAGTTTACTGTCGTTGATGACACTGACTGCAATAAGCGTTGACAGACTTCTTGCTTTGCTACTGGGTCTCAGATACAGACAAGTTGTAACTTTGAAAAGAACACGTTTAATTGCTATTGGTGGTTGGATTGTGTCTGTTGTCGGTGCATCTACATCATTTCTGAATCCTCTTATAACTTCATTGTACGGATGTATTGTTATAGCTTTTTGTTTAGTCACTACAATCTGTGCCTACACAAAAATCTGTCTCTGCGTCATAACCAAATTCATGGTCAGAACCATGTTGTTCAAGGGCAATCGAGCCAAGCAAATACACTGAATATAGCTCGATACAGAAAGGCAGTATACGGTGCACTGTGGGTGCAGGTAACATTGGTTATTTGTTATCTGCCGTACAGTATAGCTGTAGCTTTAACACCTCAAGGGCGGTTGCCGTTGTCTACTTACCTTGCTAGGCAATTTACAGTTACTTTAGTGTTTTTAAACTCGTCGTTAAACCCGTTTCTGTACTGCTGGAAAATCACAGAAGTGAGAAAAGCTGTGAAAGAAACATTACAACAACTACACGTCTGTACCTGAACTAAGACTTAGACTAAGAACATTTACTAACGAACTTGATAAGAAAATATGTATAAGAAAACCAGACAAATGTCTTAGTCCGAATTGCACCTTTAAGATTGTTTTCTGCTTCATTGCAGATTGTAAAGATACAAACGAAATCATTTGTTTATGTTAAAAAGTTTAATAATCATAAAACAAAATGAAAATATGACTAAAACTAGTCAGTTAGCTAATTAGTTCTCTGGCAATGAAGACTACGAAGCAGGCACATATTCTTAAAGAGAACAGCTCACTTGCTCGCAACATCACACCGACAAACTCTTTTGACTAATGTTTTTTAAAGCCAGAAGACAATCAGAGAGCTTTACTGTTCTGCCGAATTTACTGGAGAGATGCATGGCGAACTTATCTTGAAAATACACTGCATAAATAACAGCTGTTGATAACCATAAAAGCCACTATATGTTCATAGTATAATCAAGTTTAACAAACGTCATAAGTTCAGTTTGGTAAAACTAATTCAGGGCGCAAAAATATTACTTTTCCGAAGGCTTTTTCAAACTCGAACAATGTTTATTGTGGGATAATGAGGGCCAGTACATGATGCAAGTTAAATTTGATGGCCAATAAATACACATTAACATTGTTCTGTTGCCTAACACAGGTCATTTTAATAAAAGCTTGCGAGTATACGAAGGCTTTTGTTTTTAGATATAATGAAAAGTGAACCATTATACTTCTGGTTTGCAGGTGATGTCACACAGCGGCCATCTTGGTCGTCAAGAACAAAAGCATGTCTCTTCCCTGGGAAGTATAACCTCTATTTTCATGTAAATTCTTCGAGAAAACAATTCTTTTTTACTGGCCCCCAACATGGTCGCCTTGTCACGTGGTTGCAATCTAAGAATACCCGCATGGTAACGTGATATCAGTGGAAAAGGGGCTATCATCAGCCCCCCTCGGGGGATTGCTCAGATGACTAACTGTTACCTACTGCTGTTATTTGCCATCGTATCAATTGTTTTATCCAAAATAAAGTCGGTTGCGCGGTCGAATTATAGAAGGAATTAGTAGCAAAAGCGAAGTGCTTTCTCAGCTAAGAGCTAGAGAAGACTCATATACAGTGCTTAAAGGATGGAACATCACCATGGCCCTAGGGCACGAAACCCTCTCTTTTACAAAAATAGGCCTTGGGTTCATATAACAGTTGAGTACGCCACCAGCACTGCTAAATTTCGTCCCCTCTCACTTTCAAATTCGTTCCTACGGGCCCGCATGACAACTGAAGACAGCATATCTCGGAAAAAAAGCGGCCAGAAAACTGCTTCGATTTGAAAGTTTGGCTGAGCTTGGTAATTTGTATTGCGCGTCACACAGAAAAACAGGAACACGTTGATTTGGCTGATTTGGCGAACTGATTGTTTGGTGAATCATAATAAAAACTTATCTTCTCGGAGAAATGGTAGTCTTTCGTTGTTTTCACTTTATTTGTAATTAAACTTTAATTTGAATAATTATTATAGGTAAGTGCATCAATCTTAGCCATTGGTAGCGGTCCGGCAAACTGAGAGAGTTTTACCTCGAATTATGGATTGCTTACTAGCCTACGTAATTCAGTTTACTTTAACAAAGAGAAGAAGAATAACAGTCACCAAGCTGTAAACTAATCGAACAACAGATAGAGGTGCTATGTACAGGTTGCTGTATGTGGGGAAAGTATATATATATATAGTTTTACCTGGATTTTTGAAGTTGGTTTAGCAAAAAAATCAACTCACTCTACTACTTGGCAATTTAAAACAATGAAAAATCATTAAAAGGCCGATTAAAAGCCTTTAACTGACGCCGGGCAGTAAGTCAGTAGTGGTCCCTAGAAGAATTTCAACGAGTCACAATTTTAATGATGTCAAGTGATTTCTGCACCGTTCTTTGAAGTTTAATAGTCGGTTGCAGGCAATTACCTTCAAGAGGGCATTCCGGTTTCTTGACGGTAATTGCCTGAGACAAAACGTGATTTACCAAGCGACTGTAACGACTGGAACAACAACAGAATCATACATTGGACTCAGTAGCCACTAACTTCAAAGAACAGTACAGAAATCACTTGACATCCTTCCGACACGCGAACAGAAGAAATTAGACGGAACTGTCCAAACGGGAGTGGACTCTCAAAGATGCCAACAGATCCTTTCACGTGCAGTGGAAAGTACTCAGGAATTGTAAACCATATGACAAGGCTAGCAAAAAATGTAATCTGTGCCTCGAAAAATATATTTTTATCATTTGTGAAAAACACTTGTGTACTCTGAACAAAAAAAAACGAATTAGCAAGTTTATGCCCATACAGAAATAGATTCACTCTCGGAAATTTTAGAATAACGTAACGCAACGCAACGAAACCGCACGGATCCCGAAAAATCCATTGGGGAACCTCTATACCTCCGTGTCGACTTTGTGTCTATTTTCAAACGTTTTAATCACTCTCCGTCTGCCTCTTTACCAGCCGCTCGCAATCGCGTATTCAGAGACTTTTTAAAATTGGCTTCCTAGTACAGAACGGACTTTAACTTCTCAAAGTTTCTTCCTCACTAGGCCCTGAATTGTGGAATAATTATTACTTTAATTTATTAAAACTGCTTTACTGGTGGAGATAATAGAAGTAAGACAAGCTGCGAAACACGCACTTAGGAAACGTTTTCCGTTTATCGACTTAGCTAACGTTTCAGAAATGTGCATTGCATCCCTGACCGACAAGCCTGTAGCAAAAAAAAAATTCCAGACATCATCGTCATTGTGATATTAGATTTCAAATATGTCCGTACGTTCTCTCCTTCTATCAATAGTAAGGAGAAATCTAGACTCTTCATCGGCCCCGCTTGTTCAAAAGGTAGATAGAGCTATTATTAGTTATCTACTGAATACTCTGTATCAAGTGGATAACGCAATAGGTTGGATTAACACGTGATTCACTGGGGCCAGCACTTGTTCTGAGATGGTTAAAAATTTCCATCGTTATAACACGAACCTCCCCGTTGATAATTTATGTGAGTACGTACTGGGTCAAGAGCTAGCTTTTTGAATAACGAAATTCCCCAGTTTTGCTGACGTATTACCCACTTTCTACGAAAGATTATCACTCCTTCGATGAATTGGGGCGGTTCATCAAAGGACGGTATGTTATGTATGAGTACCGGGTTTAGTACGTACCTTGCACTTGAATAACGAAACTCCCCTAAATCGATGAATTGCGACGGTTCATCAAAGGACAGCTTTCAAGGGTTTAAAATACCTCGTATTGATCAGAGTATCGCGATCAAGAGATCAAGAGCTTTAACTATTCTCCTGCATCAATGATAATTAGTATATACACACTCAGTGATCTTGGTGATTTAAGCAATCTGATTGGTTCGCTATCTCGGACTATTCAACAATATTCACCTCCTAGCGAGTGGATAATGTGTGAGCTCAGTGTTTTTCCCATTTTTTAGAGAACGATCTTTTAAAAGTCGACAGAATCCTAGGGCTGACTTTTTTTAAGGCAAGAAAAGACTTGGAAGGATTCAATACGGCGTTTTTCAATTTACTGTAGCACTCAGTAGTAGCAGGAGTTTTGTGCTCGATGGATTGTTTACAACTCCCGTGTATTCGCGTAGAAGAAGCCGTTTCCGTTTTCTAAGAAGACAATTTAGGCTCAAAAATCGAAGTTTATTTATGACAAACAAATTTAAAAGGAAATGTTTGCAGAAATTCTACGTTTCAAGTAAACAGGAAAAAGAATGATACAGAAAGACGACGTCTTACCTCGAGCAAATGAGCCGCCATTTTTGTCAGCACTTCATGCGAAGAACGACACAACAAACCCTTTTGCTATAAACGTGGCGAGTCAACAGAAAACAACACAGCTCTAATTTTCTTCTCAGGTAAGGAAACAGTTCAAACTTTTAGCGGTTCCATTTAAGCCATTACGCTGTTGTTTGCGAAATGATAAACTTGTGAATTGCCATGTTTGAAATTTCTGCAAAGATCTATTTTTAAACTTACGCGTGATTTGATCTGTCAATCAAATCGTACTTTTGAATGGTTTCCTCTCTGATTTTGTTGAGATCACTTCATGTGTATATACTAAAACAATTATTCTTTTCAATCTCGGTGAATAGTGGCTTTGGGAATATTTACCTCGCCGCTTTCGCGTCTCGGTAAATATTTTGCCACTATTCACCTCGATTTCAAAGAATAATTGTTAAATATTGTAGAAGAATACATCCACCTGGATTTGAACAAGTTGAAATTCTAAGACAGATCTACCAAGTTTCAGAAGTTAACGCTCGTCGACTGATAACACTGAGCTCAGAGGTGACAAACTGAACAGCTTGAATAGGTAGGTTAAAGATTGTTCAGAAATCGCCTGTAAGCTTTCGTGCACTCCTTAAACTTAAAGATTCATTCATTCATTCATTTTTGCCATTAACCACATATAAATACAACAATATACAAGAAATTTATAATACATTAAAGATAATATACACTATTCTAACGAAATTATTTACAAAATTAAATTTTTAAAGTGGTAAGGACAAGGAAGCCTGAATAGAAGCCGGGAGCTTATCCCGGGGGGAGGGGGGTACTCCCTTATAAGGGCTTAATGGGGACGTGCGGCTGAGCCAGGGTATGTTTTCGGGATTTTTGTCTTAAACGGGGTATCGAATTTATCATTTTTTTTGTCTTAATCAGGGTATCGATTTATCAATTCTTGTCTTAAACAGGATAAATGTCTTAAACAGGGTAGGAAAATCAGCGATGTTTGTCTTAAACAGGGTCAGGGTATGAGGGGCCGCGCCGCACCTCCCCACCCAGGGATATATCGAGTACCCCCCGGAGGCTTATACACTATATGCTTCCTGCAACTATAGGGTAAACCGTGGGAGTTTAAGGGTGCTGAATGTAAATGGATTAATTTTTAAAAGAAAAGGTATGTAGCTCAAATGAATATATTTGACTGAGAAAGAAGGCCTAAAAAC